TTTAATGTAAGTTCCCAGAGACTAGGCGTTAGACTGGTGGTTGCTTCAAGCTAGAATAGTCAGGCTCGGGGAGGAATGCTGCAGTCACAGAACTGACTGCCTTCTTCCAAGACCAGAACCCAGCATCCGTTGGCCCTGCTATAGGCAGGGAAAGGGCTGTGGACATTCACTCAAGGCGGTAGCTGTGCTCATTAAAAGAAATTAAGGTGTCTTTATTATCATGCTTCCTCTTTTTTGTTTCTTGTGAACCCCTTCCTTACATACTGTTGTCTCATTTTCTCCATGGGCAGAGGCTAGCTAGAAAATTTTTTTTTTTTTTGCGGTACGCGGGCCTCTCACTGTTGTGGCCTCTCCCGTTGTGGAGCACAGGCTTAGCGGCATGTGGGATCTTCCCGGACCGGGGCATGAACCCATGTCCCCTGCATTGGCAGGCGGACTCTCAACCACTGCGCCACCAGGGAAGCCCTCGAAGATATTTTGAGCAAAAGGTCAGTCTAGCCGATAAGTTCCGTTCAGTATTATCTATAGTCATTAAGCTGAATTTCCGAGAACTGGGGGAGAGAAAATACTTTGTTATGTGATTCAGGAATACATTTTTTATAGATCAGAGATGGGACCTGAGGCTGCCTGCCTTCTCCGTGACCATCTTCCCCCTGCCTACTGCCAAAATTCCCCACAGATCGCTTCTTACAAGGAATGAAGACACAGTTCTTTGGAAATTGGTATAACAGTATAACATTAACACATTCCCAACATCCCAAAGCCACATTAGCACAAAAGTGTTGCACTGAATTATGGGTTACAATGCACAGGCTATTTAGACATCAGCCAGTTCCAGGATGATCTAGGATCCGCTGGAACATTCTAAATCAGGAGCCAGCAAACTTCTGTAAGGATCCAGATCATAAATGTCTTCGAGTTGTGGATCACGTAGCCTCTGTCACCACTACCCAGCCTTGCCATTTTAGTGCAAAAGCAGCCATAGACACTATGTCAGGAAGGCCGTCTGGGTAGAACTGTATTCCAACAAAATTCTATTCATACTTGGGGACAGGCTGGATTTGGTAGTTTGCTCACTCCTGTTCTACCAGAGCATAGCTTCCTAGATTGAACTGAGTGATATTTAATGGGTGCCAAGTAAAAAGGAAAGACTGACATAGGGTAGAAGACTGATCTGGATTTAATGACAAATATTCCATACTGGTTGCTGAACACCACAATGCTGTCCAGGGAACCATCATTAAATAAAACCTGAAAATAAGGCAATTCTCACATACACAAGCACACACTCGCACAAAACCTGTTACTTTTCGGATCATTAAATTATTCACCATTTTAACAAACAGCTGTAAAATAACATTACCGTGAAGGAAAATGTGCACAAACTTCAGAAACACAGTTCAGATTGTCTACGAACACAGGTTCTTAATTTGTACTTTTTCACATATGTACAGCCTCTGGATCTTGGAGAGGCCACATGGCTCAAGGGGTTAACTTCTCGTCTTCTCCTTCCAGCTCAGAGCTCAATATTTAATCAAGCCATTTAACCTATTTAAAACTGCTCTAGCTTCTTCTCAGTAAAGGGCAGCCTGCACTTGACCAAACTCCCCAGGAAACAAATGATACATTTGCCTCCACCATCATTAATGAGTTGGTGGAAGGAATCTTCAGAGTAACATTTTCCAGGGTGAACCAGTTACCGGGGTTTGATTTAGAAATACTATTTTTCTAAAACTAGATACAAGAGACAACCTCCTGAATGCACTAAACCTCACTTAATGCAGCTATGTTCCTTGAAGAATTATAAGAAAAATGGAATCACATTTTAGCTGCACCATGCGAGTGGGGTGTTTGGTGCCTGGACTGCTTTCTTCTGCTAAGGGATGTGGTCACAGAAGGGATAGTGAAATAGTGGCTGGCCTTCTTATCTATGGTAACAGAAAGAACAGAGTGGGTCAGTGAAATCCAAAGAATTCCACCGCCAGTAAATTATTTTACATTAGCTTCAATCTCCTCTCCCCATTGAACCCATGCTCGAAAGTTGCTGCTATGGAACACACTAGGTGCAGACGAGATTGTGCAATAGTATGAAAATGTCAGCAAAAGACCAAGTGACCCAGAATGTGGATCATAAACCCATGAATAATCGAAAGTTGGATGAGATTTCATAGGCACAGACTCAAGAGAACTTAAAACAGCTGGAAGAGGTAGATGTGCATGAAAAAAAAAAAAAAACAAAAAGAAATAAGATTACCTACAAATTGGCTATATTATTTTTATGTGAGTCTCATACACTTGGTATTCAGACTACAAGAGTCAGAATAAATAACGACACTTGCTTTGCTCAGATTACTCTTGACTAAAATAAAAAGGAATTAGTATCTTCCAAAACTATCTATAGTTTGAAAATCTATTTGCATTTGTGAATAACAACAAACTGATTAAGAGGGCAAGATCAACAGGCATTATACAAGCCCAGAATTCTCAGGGTTTTTTTTTTTACGTGTTTTGATGGCAAAAACATGCTTCCCTAGAGTCCCCAAAGAGGTTCTTTGCTAGAATACAACTGATCAAGTATAAATTACCAGCATCCATAGAAAGCTTGCTAAAACCGTAAAAACAATCTTGTGGGTTTTTTTTTTCCTTCAAGTGTGTCCAACAGTTTGTGAAGATGCTTCCATGAAAAGTATAGGTTAACAACTGCTAATAAAGAAAACAAAACTGCTTTCCACAACTCTACCTTCTAAAGGCTAACCTAAGGGAGGGATTTTCAGCATAGGTAACTGAAGTCTATACAAGAGTCATCTAACTATAGACCCTACTAGAAATGGAACATATCTAGGACTCTCTAATTACATGACAAAGACCAGCTTTGTCAACAAGGACATCTTTGGCCCTTCTAGACTAGCCTTAAGTGTTCCATCAAGCGTAAGAATTTTCAGTGTCCTTATTATATAAATCACGACAGGTAAGTCTTCCTAGCAGCTGAGCTGGAGAGCACAAAAGGGCAGACCACACCTATCCACACTGTCATCAGCCTCTCTTCAGAACTACCTGTCACACTCCTGTCCCCAGGCCTTCCCTAAGACAGGGGTCATAATACTGTTCTACCTCACAAAGAAGTGAGCAACAACTAACAAGCATTAAAAAGCAGAAAGCACTTTAGAAATACAAAAGTGCTCTTTTGGCATTTATATAACAACCGGAAGACATTCATTGCTTGTGCTATTTGGCAATTTTGCATTTACACCTCTCCCTGCTTGTGCCCTCCTTGTGTAAATTCTTGAGCTTTCTACTGTGCCGCCCTGTGCAGGAAAGAGAAATTTCTACTCAGACCAGAGCCCATATCAATATGGGTGGGGGTGTGGGTTCGAATATCTCCCCCAATACTGCAGAGGGGGAGGGGTACACAGATACAAAATGAAGGCAAATGACACGAAGGAGCCTGGCGCCCCAACACAGGAACATTTGCTTTCCTGGATTTCTCCCATAAGGCCAGCAAAGCTCTGAGCAAACTGACTTTTGTAGCAGGTCGCTGGGGCAACTGTTGATGGCCGGAGTTTCACTTGAAACAAGCATCAAGCTGACCTGGGAAAGGAAAAGTCACACATAGCTGCGACTGTTCCATTTCCCAGCACTTAAAAGATCACAGATGAGACCTGAAAGAAATACTGGGCCTGGAACACACCTGACACCGGGGGCAGGGGTCTGGTCATCCACACAGGCTACCTTGACCCAGCATGAAGCTAGAGACGATTTTAAAGGAAGAGTAGCAAAGAACCAGAAGCAGGACCACGATTTCCCAGATCTGAAAACCAGTTGTGAGTGAATTTCTAAACCTCAGAGATCCCACCCCGGAGACGAGGGTGCGTAGCTTTTCTGCCCAGTTTCCCCTGGACGCCTCAAAATAGCAGCTAGCTGTGGCTCAGAGGAAGGAAGGGAAGAGCACACAAATATCCACTCCTGTAGGACGGACAAAGTTCCCCTACTTTTCGCGGGACTACAGCTGATGTGTGGGGACAGGGCAAACAGTGGCTTAATACCTGCTGAAACCAGGACAGAATTACTCATACCCGCCTTTCACTTTACCCCGTAACTCTCACTCCAACCACACGCTCTCCCAGCTCTCCCCGCTTCCCACGGGCCATCACTGCCCAAGCTACTCTACTGCCTGTCATCCTGTACCCTCCCCCACCCCCAACTCCCTTTCCTCAAGGTCCTCAAAGTGCCTGCTCCTCCACGCTCTTCATCCTTCACAGCGTGTATGTGGTGACGTCGCCACGCTCAAGCACACCTCCCAAACATTTCTTCGTCAGGGAGGAGACAGGCAAAATACAGCACCCCCTAAAGAACAAGTCTTACTCAACCCTCCCCTTCAGGACCCCCAACACCTCAAGGCTCCCCAGTCATTCTCCGATTGCCCCTCCCCCCTTCCCCATTTCTTTCTAAAGGGTCTGTCCCCAGGACATCTACCCCCCCCCCCCCCCCCCCCCCCTTGCCAGCCACAAGTCTGTTCTCTGTGAGTCTGTTTCGCAGTCACTGTGAGCATTTTGGGGGTGTCCTGCTAGTATTCTTCTGGGTATCATTTTTTAAAATTCCTGTTATCCTAATTTTATCTACTCAGCCTTTTGCATTTTTTCTCTAATATTTTGTGATGAAAATCTTTTTAAGAACTTAATATTGAGGTGGTTAAACATCATACAGCGTAAAATTCACCCATGCTAATGGTACAGTTGGTGATTTTTAGTAAGTTTTCTAAGCTGGACAAGAGACGATGAGAAATTTGGATCACACTGGAAAGGTGAAGAGCTGTGTGCTGAGCAGCCACGTGCCCGCCATCAAGTTCACAACTAATATTTTGTTGTAATTACTTTTTCATCATCTACTCTCTATCCCTTCATCTATTAATCCAATTGTTTTTAATATGGATTTTTTTAAATTGACGTGAAAATCAACACAGTTAACCACTTTAAAGTATACAGTGTGCTGTTTTTATTTATTTATTTATTTTTGGCCAGGTGCAGCTTCTGGTGCTGCGCGAGGTGCGTCTTGTAGCGGAAGCCCTTGCCACAGCCGGCGCACTTGTGCGGCTTGTTGCCCGTGTGGATGCGGCGGTGGCGGATCAGGTGCGAGCTCTGGATGAAGCTCTTGCCGCACTCGATGCACGTGTAGGGCTTCTCGCCCGTGTGCGTGCGCTGGTGCTGCGTGAGCGTGGAGAAGTCGCTGAAACGCTTCTCGCACTGGCCGCAGCGGAAGGGCTTCTCGCCCGTGTGCACGCGCAGGTGGTTCACCAGGTGCGAGTTGCGCCCAAAGCCCTTGCCGCATTCGCGACACACGTACGGCCGCTCACCCGAGTGCGTGCGCTTGTGCGTGAAGAGGTGAGAGCTGACGCTGAAGGTTTCCCCGCACTCGGAGCACATGTAGGGCTTCTCGCCCGTGTGCACGCGCTGGTGCTTCACCAGGTCCGAGCGCCAGCTGAAGCGCTTGCCGCACTCGCCGCAGCCGTGCGGCTTCTCGCCCGTGTGGATGCGCTGGTGGTTGGCCAGGTGCGAACGGCGCACGAAGCCCTTGCCGCACTCCCCGCAGGCGAAGGGCCGCAGCGCCGCCGGCCCCGCGCCGCTGGCAGCCGCGTGCGCCCGCCGGTGGCTCAGCAGGTGGGAGCTGAGGCTGAAGGCCTCGCCGCACTCGGGGCACGGGTAGGGCTTCTCGCCCGTGTGCAGGCGCCGGTGCTTGAGCAGGTCGGCGCGCCAGCTGAAGCTCTTGCCGCAGTCGGCGCACAGGTTGGGCCGCTCGCCCGTGTGCAGCCGCAGGTGGTTGGTCAGGTAGGTGTTGCGGCTGAAGCCCTTGCCGCACTCCCCGCAGCGGAAGGGCTTCTCGCGCGGGGGCCGGGCCAGCGCGGGCCCCGCCCCGAACCCCCCCGCCACGCCCACGCCCACGCCCACGCCCATCATCCCCACCACCCCGCCGCACTCGCCCGCGAAGCCGAAGGGCTCCAGGCTGGCGGCCGCGGCGGCCTCCGCCAGGCGGTGAATGCGCTGGTGCTGCAGGAAGGCGGCGCCCGGGCTGAAGCTCTCCCCGCAGTCGGGGCAGATGGTGGGCGCGTCCATGATGCTGGCCATCAGGCTGTCGAGCTCCCCGAGGTCCATGGCCATGGGGTGGTGGAGCCGGCGGAATCGGCGGTGGGCGGGCTTGTCACCCCGGTGTCGACTTCCCAGGGAGAGGTGCCGCCTCCAGGGAAGCACGGCAGGAGGCGGCTGCTCCTCTTCCCCCTCTTCCTGGGGGCTCCGGGAAATGCCGACGGACTCAGACAGCCCTGCGAACATCGCCATCTCAGCTACTCCAGCTTGGTCATCGTCTTCCTCACGGAGAGCAACCCCTTCTTCCTCGCTCAGCAGCCCCTCTGCAACAGAAAAGGCGGCAGTGGGGGTGACTGTACTGGGCGCTCAACAGGTAAACCCAGAGGAAGCCCGTCTCAGTAAGAGGGTGGGCCACGGGGTAATCCCCTCCCCCAGGGACTCCCAAACTCTCTCTCTAAGGTCCCTGTCTCCTCCACCCCCACTTCCAGCCTCCTTCCCACCTGGTGACTCCTGGGGAAGGCCTAAAGGAGAGCGAGCTCACCTGCCCCCTTGGCTTTCCACGTCTTCAGGCAGCTGTCTCCGGGCCCAGGCCCCACCCACTGGACCTGAGGCTCTGTTCCCCAGGGCCACCTGAAGGCCTGACAGTCAGCTTGAGAAGGTCAAGTCTGGGCCAAGTGGGACTCTCTGGGATCTCGGAAGACATCTGCCCACTCCAAGAGCCACCAATGCCTTTCAAGGCCCTAGCCTTAAAAGACAAGGCCACCCCAGCCAACCACAAGAGAGACCACCCGGCCTAACTAGGCTCCGAACTGAGTTTTTAAATATGATTGGTCAGTCTGCAACCGCTTAAGGTGGAACAACAAACCAAACACACTCCAACCTAAGGGCTTTACTATGTAAGGAGGGTGGGGGGTTGGGAAAAAGGGGAGGTGAGTACAGGGCCTGGAGCTGGTGAGTCCAACTTAGAGGCTGATCCAGAACACACATCTGTCTACCTCTGGCTGCTTATCCCCAAGCAGAGGACACCCAAGAAAGTTACTGGGATGTGAAAGACCACGTGCTCTGTGCACTGCAAGGGAGGGCAGTAGCAGGGTCTGGGAGGTGTCCTGGGGAAGGAATGTAACCTCACGGCCCTGATCAAAAGGTATTTCAGCTCATTTCTGTCCCCAAGGCATGCGCAGAGCAGGATAAAGCAACAAAAGCCCAAAGATGGAACCAAGGAAGTGGATGGAGGCCCAGCGTTTACTCTTTCCAGATCAGGAATAGCAAGGGATTTAGGAGAGGCCTTGGGCACTTTGGGTATTAGCCACATGAACCTGGGCAGGTCCCTTACCACTGTGTTTATTTATTTGCAAGCGGGGATGATGACTGTAACTGTAAACGTCTAGATCTGTGCTAAGCAACTCATCTAACTCTCCAGCAACGCCAGGACGTAGGTCCCAATGCTACCTGTGTTCCCTCTTGTGCTGTTACAAGTGTTACTTTATGGCAGTATTTTGTATGCTGTAAAGTGCACGCCTGTGAGTTACCCTCTTCACCCATGTTTACCAGTACACCCAATGCTATGTGTTCCCTCTTGTGCTGTTACAAGTGTTACTTTATGGCAGTATTTTGTATGCTGTAAAGTGCACGCCTGTGAGTTACCCTCTTCACCCATGTTTACCAGTACAGCCCACCTCAGACCAGATTGATGAACAGGATGTTCCTCAGGCGTAAGATGGTACAGAATCTGCTTAATGGTGTCCTCTAGAGAGCTGCCTCCTAAGAATGCTGCCCCTGGTTATCACTCTGGAGGAGCTAGAAATAAATGTGAATGCGGCAACTTCCACCGAAACTGCCGTTTTCTCCTCACCTGTGCAGATGTTAGACACTAGTTCCCTCTCCTCTGAGTCCCCTCTTAGAGATTCATCCTGTGGGTTGGAGCCCATCTCCTGCTCCAGGTGGCATTCTCTCTTGTCTGCATCATGTGGGTTAGAGCCCATTCCTCTGTCTTCTGGGTCCCCTTCCCTGTCTTCAGAGTTCTCAAAATCAGAGCCCATCCCCTTGTCTTCTGAGTCCTGGGCTTCACACACGCCCCGTTTATCTTCTCGTTCCATCCAGGAAGACCAGGAGAAGGGAGGTGACCACGGATCCCTGCTCCAGACAAAACACACAGATAAAGGTCACGTGAGTCTGGCCTCATCCCCCCACCAGGTCTGGCTTTGATTTCCATGAAAATCAATGGCACAGTCCAATAAAATGTACAGAGTTCCAAGCCCCAGATGGCAGATCTCTGCCCCATCTCACGCTTTAAGGTAAATAGAACTGAGCGAAAAGGAGGCTGGTCTGGGTAGCAGAGGAACAGTGGCAACTCATGAGGCCACATGTCAACTCTCACTGGACTACAATTCCATTTGCTTCCATATATGAAGTGGACAATTCTATTAACACGGCTCTATAGCTTTAACAGTGGGGGTAACAGTGGTATTCCCATTTTACAGATGAGAAAACTTAAAGCTCAGAAAGAAGACCCCACTAGCCTAAGGGCTAACTTGTAAGCAGTAAAGTGGGAATTAAACCAATTGTGCTGCTTCAAAGTTCCATGAGTTCCTTACTCTAGTTAAAGCTTGCCCTCCTACAATTTTTATTTGTATACAATATTTTATTTACTGAGGTCAATTATACCTCAGTAAAGCTGGGGGGGGAGGGGCAGCTTGCCCTCCTCAAACCCACAGCAATTTTGTGAGGATTTTAGCTAATTATGAGGGGGCCTCTAAGGAACCAGAGGAAAAGTACATTGGAGACACAAGACTAACAGAAGCATCGGTATTTTAACTTCTTATCTAAGACTGTGTCACCAACAGCAGCAGCATCCTGGCTCCAGTGAGGATCTGCTGCTTTTCTGTGAGCAGTAGCCCAAGTAGTTCAAGCTTTAGTAGGTCTGTTGGGGGTCGTGGAAGAGATGCAGGGACCCTTTGTATTAGAAGCCATCTCTATAGCCTGATGAAATATTTTGCCTTATCATATACTTTAATTGTAGAGAGCCCTTAACAGGAACGTCCCCTGGCACAACTGGTAACCCCTCTACAGAACAGGCCAACGTGTGAGTTGTAGGGAGACGAAGACATCAGATTCCTAAACCCTTTTGTAGATGGCAGGTTTACGTTTCAAAAGTATAGGGCGCCCTGCCAAGACTGGGCAGTTGAGCCAAAAATAATTGACATCTGCCATCCATCACTCTTACAGCTCAGCTCAAGGCAGCAAAACAGTTTACAGGTCAAGGATCTCGGACCGACGTTGAAGTGTCCAGCTCTCTCTCTGCCTTGGCAGTCCCCAAACAGGACTAGCAAGAATATGGCTGAGCATGCGGCTTTTCCTACCTGCCTCTGTTGACAGGGCTTCCCAGACGCAGCCCTGGCTCTGTGACTCTTCGGCGTGGAAAGCAGGAGTTACAGGCAGCAGCCTTTCCGGTGGAGTCAGCCTTACTCTGCAGCCCAGGGCAAGTCAGTTAACCTCTAATTGTTTCAGTGTCCTCATCACTGCAAGGAGGATAATGCTACATAACCTTTCACACACGGAGGGTGTCAGAGGAAACATTAAAAAGCACTTTGGAAAATACTGTGGCATGGACTCGATACTTTGAGTAGTCCAAATGTGGAATTCACACAGTATTCCTCTAAGTCCTGATGCCATTCCAGCACACCTCAAAGACACACCAGCCCCTCCGTAATTTTGGCAGACTCACGGCCCTAAATAGCACATTATATCCTTTCTCAGAGCTGATGATATGCTCCCTAGATTAGAGGGAAACATCAAGCCTGTCTCTTAAACATCACAGGAAAATGGCTGGACTGAGGATGGTCAGTCAGCAGTGTCCTAAAGGAACACAGCTGGTCCCTTTAGAATGTATAACTTTAAAATGCCAGGTCCCAAATACTCAGGATTAGGCTGTAGGAGAAAATCCCTTTAAAGCCATAAACCTTTTAAGAGGTCTATCCCGCAAGGGACTATTGACCCCAAGTCACTTCTACCCATCACCCTCTTGCGTCCTGGAGCTCAGACTCTACAGACAAGTACAGCCCTTGAGTCAGCATAGATATAATACACCCCGAAGATGGGTGGTAGGAGGTTTTCAAACATGTGACCTGTTGGTTTGCTAGTGGCTGAAAGCAGTGGAGAGGTGGGAGGGGGACTTAAAGGGGACCTAATCAATGGTTTCTGCCAATCTAAGACCAGCAAGAATTTTATCAATAAAGTAAGGGAAATCAAATAAGTGTGTCACCAGAAATTCATAAAACTAAAATGGCAGGTATGGTACCCAGAATGGTACAGAAGTAACTGCAGCCCTCCACCATGAAGGGTAGGATTTAACGGTCTACCCTGGGAAGCAGGAAAGCTTAAGGTTTTACCCCAAACCCTTTTAAGAAGGACAGAGCGCCTTCTTAGAGATCACCTCAGACACAGCAAAAATGGAACAAGCGGACTTTCTGATTTGTGATTTCTTGGGAACCAAGAGATAGTTCATACCAGAGATATTAAATAAATGAACTTTTTTTTTTTTTTTTTTTTTTTTTTAGATTTAAGTGGGGAGAGCAGGGAGAGGCAGAATCTGAGTAAGTTGCCATTTAAAGCTGTCTTATGAAGTTCACAATGCTGCCCCACTCAGGATTAAGGAGGCTCTGAGCTCCCAAAGGGAGCACGTCCAGATCCTTATTCACACCAGGGGAGGGAGGATTAGGTATGTTCTGGAAAGAGTAGGAAGCTCCTGTTGCCTAGACAGATACATTCATGGTACAACATCTACTCAAATCTGTTTTAAAATGCATTATGTTAGTGCAAAACTGGAAATCTGCATGCCCCGCAATATGGATTCAGCTCCATTCACACCATCACATCATAGGATTCTAGGCAGCTATCAAGTAACAGAGAAGTCTATTTAGAGGTATGGAAAGGTAGTCACAATATATTATTAGATGAAAACTAGCTGGTTTAAAAATCATCTCATTTGTTTATTAGTATATGCACACCAGCATATAGTTACACATGTCTACACAGGCTCAGAGAGGAAAACCAGATTATTTATCAAAATGTTAAAATATCTCTTGGTCACTTCTAGGGGCTTTGCATCATTTAATCTTAACAACAACCCAGTGAAGCAGGGTATGATTTTCAACTTCAGAGTCGAGGAACTAGGCACTCAAGTTAAGCGATTAGCTCAAGGTCATACAAATCATAAGTGGCACAGCAGGGACAAAGCCCCTGCAGTCCAGCTCCAGTACCCACATTCTTAACCAGAAGCTGGTGTGTTGTTTGGGATAACTTTTCCTTTTTGTGAACATCAGTATTTTCTACAATAAAGATGTATTATTATCGGCAAAACATGCCAACTTTGTTTTCAACGTGATAAAATACATTATAGGAAAACCTACAATTATTCAAAAGCATATTCAAAAGCAGCAAAAAGGAAGACAAGGACAGGAGTTGTGGCTTAGCTCAATCTAGAAGATTTAATTTTCAGAAATGTTATCTACACACCAGTATAACCGAACTGTCAGTCACTAGCTATCTAGGCACATTTTGTTCCATTCATTCTCAAAATAAGAACTAGCACCATGTTTTCTGAGGCAAGGCCAGGGTTGACTAATGAGGAGGTGGCAGGACATTTTGACAGCTTTGTGGCTAAACTGACCTGGGTTCAAATCCTGTTCCTTGTCAGCGACTTCACCTTGTGCAAGTGACTCAACCTTGCTGAACCTCAGATTCTGCATCCATGAAAACAAGCATGCTGCCACCTACCATATAAGGTTAATGTAAAAGCAGCTGGCACACTGTAGAGACACAATAAATGGTAGTTATAATATGAAACTTATGGCAATGACTTGATTAAAGAACATACACACACACACACACACACACACACACACACACACACACACACTTCTCAAATTGGGGGTCACCTTTTCACAGCTATATTCACCGAGAATGGTGTTTGGCAAGTACGAACAAAAAGCTTCCTCTGGTTTGGCCACTAAAGGCTCTATTAATGAATAGCCCACCACGTGGAGACAAGAACCAGGGAGGGGCTGGCTGCTTAGGTGAGCTGGGGAGAGGGAAAAAGGTTCAGTTCCATGTTGGTTTGGAGTTGCTGATAACCCATCCTGCACACAGGAAGTATTCGTCTAAGGTATGTGTGGTCTAAAAAATCCTGACTTAAACCATCTATAAGGGAGCTCTTCTCTCCCCCAGTAAGAAGGGGTACAAGTTTAAAGGGGGGATAAACCAAACAGAGGTAATAGTGGGAGTAGTCAGGCAAATAAGATCCATTCTGCATCTGGTTCTAATCACTGAACTGGCAGTAATGAGGAGAGCCCTGGTTTGGGCCACCAAAGACACTGTGCTGTGTGACTTACAGAAAGTACTTGCCCCTCTGTTCAATGAGGAGGTTGGGTATGAATGTGCCCGAGTCCTCTTCTCCTGGTCATGCCACAAGCAGGAGTATGAATCCAGGGAGGCACCACTGTCAGTTTCGTTAGACATGTTCAACTCCAGCTTGTTTACCTGACTCCCACAGCAAGCTGTTAACTTCCCAAACACCCAAGACCGCCACCACCAAACCCTTCTCTAGGGCGCAGACCACATCAGGGTAGGATCAGCCAACTTTGCCGAGACTGCTCAAATTCTAGTTTTTAGAACCTTTAATATTTTCATGTTCCTTTCCCCCTACCCCCCCCAACTCAGAAAAGAGTAATGTTTTTAACTGTATAAAGTCACTAGGCTCAAGCGCCTTCTAGACAAGCTCAACCCCCTGCGAAAGACGAATCCGATCAGTCTGAAGATATTGCTACAGAGTGGAAGTAAATGTGATAACGTATGTTGGAAGGAAGGAGCGGAGAGGGAGGGAATGAGGTGGGGGAAGGGGAAGTGGGGCCAGTCACGGAGCCAGAATCAGAACTTAACCTGCCTGACCTTCTTGGCACCTTCTCCCAACAGCGCCCTCTGGACCGATAGAAACGCAAAACCCATTCCTTTCCAACAGCAAAAGCGCCACCACTTTAAGGATTCAACGTCGCTTCTTGCCAAGACGTTGATGCCCACAAGCACACACCTCTCCCCCACC